TAGGAATCCTAGATAAGACACTAAGACATTGGAAATCGCCTTCTCCTTCTCTCCTCCCCACACCTTTTCCCATCCCTTCTTTATCCTTTGTGCTTGTTCAGGGATGAACCCAGGGTTTCTTGCATGGGAGACAAATGCTCTATTCCCGAATGCCCCAGCCAGACCCCTCTCCTTTTTGCACTTCTCTGTACCCCTCTTTATCTGCCTCCACCATTGTCACCTTCATCTTATAAAAATACAAATAAATAAAAACAAACCGCTTAAAACAAACAAACAAACATGGCCTCCCTCTGTAGCATAAACTAGCCTAGAACACCCTTTGTATCCCAGGTTTGCTTTAAACTCCTGACAATCTTCTGCCTCTGCTGGAATTGTAGGCATGCAGCACTATGCCCAGCTAAATTGAAAATCTTCTTTTCAGTGTACGCTCTGAGGTTTTCCCAATCCTGGTAACTCTACCTGGGAGCTGCCAGGCCAAGCAAGATGCACTGGTCTATCCAGACATTACGTCTGTATTCACTGAGGTGGCGTGGAATAAATGTGGTTGGTAGATGGGAAATAAATAGGGGGCTCTGTATTTATGTTCCGTGCCAGCCACAAGTTGGACTGTGCACGGTTCAGGGAGCTTTATGTTCAATTTTATGTCTAGACAGAGTTTGGGATGAGGTTATCACTTCTCTAATTAGAGCAGGAAGGCTTCCCCAGGCGCTGCTTTCGGGAGCTCTCCTGCTGTCTTGGCTTTACCATCTGTCCCCAAGAGTAAGACTTGGGTAGAAAGGGGCAAGAGAATGAACAGTGGAATTGTAGTCAAGATCTGTCTTTTTTTTTTTTCTTCACCTTGGTTTTGTCACCAGTAGCCACATGACCTTGAATAAATTATCCCTCTTTGGCTCTTCTCATCCTCGTTTGTAATGTAAAGGGGTGAGCTGATTCAGTTAGTGGATATGTTTCCTGAGGTCTGTCAAATAGACTACTCTTTCAGCTCTGCCTTATGCGGGTGAATTGGAGTTGGGGGTCCTAAAGAGGGCTTCTCAGAAGGTGAGATGTGAGTTGGGGTTAGAGTAAGGGCAGTGCGAATGGCACTGGACTTCAGAAGTAAAGAAGAGACGTCACCTAAGCGGCCAGTGGCTCCTGCATGGAATGGGCCCTTTGATGGAACAGTGTGCCCCATGGAGCACTGGTTCCCTGACACCTAGCTCACTCCTGCTCTGTTCTCACAGGTATCTGCTCAGGCAAGAGTGCCCCCCCTCTCAGCTCCCTGTTGGAAGAACCCTGGGGTTTCTAGGGTTCCTTTTCAATGGACATTTCCTTCTCCTACCCCTGGATTTGGGGCCTGTGTTAATTACTGTTCTCTCTCCTGTGAGAGAAACAATCTAAGGAAGAAAGTATTCATTTGGGCTCACAATTTGAGGGTCCGGTTCATCATGGTTGGGGCCATGGTGGCAGGTGTTGGTCATATTGAGTCCATAACCAAAAGAGAGAGAGATGAGTGCTGGTATTCATCTGGCTTCCTTCCTTTGCCCTTGTTATTCATTCTGGGACCACAGCACATTGGATGAAGCTGCCTACATTCGTGGAGGGTCTTCTCAGGAGAAAGCTCTCTGGAAGCGCCCTTACAGATGCTTCCATATGCTTTCTGGGTAATTTAAACCCAGTCAAGTTGACGATGAAGATTAAGCACTACAAACCTACCCCTTGTGAACTTGCTACTCAACACATCATTTTAGAATCATAACATTCCACCCGTGGTTCTCAAAGCCTCATGGAAATCTTGCAATAAATTATTCTAAGTACCCTCCGGACCCCAAGGCAATCTCTTAGCTGTGCGCTCCTATAAGATAATTTTTAAAAAGTTAATATACTTCCAATATACAATGACACAGAATCAACATTTCTATTGCAAAAAGAGAGAATCAGAAGTATATCAAGGAAAGATTGAACTAAAGCAAGATTGAAACCCAGCAGTGCAAACATCAAACCTTGAAGCTATGTGGCATCTGGAGCTATGATGGCCTCGTCTGGGCTCCAATGGCTGTGCTGTGTGCTGCCCTGTCTCATTAATTCTTCTTTCTGTATCACACCTAACTACTCTCTCAGCTTGGTTCTGCCTAGTGCCTACAGCTTCCCTCTGCAGATACCCCACATTTGGAGTTCCCCCAAATCTGAGATCTTCACTGCAACCTGAAGGTCATGCTTGTAGCTTCATGTGGTTGCCTCTCAGGCCTTCCTTGCCCGAGAATCCAACCCTGCTATTCAGTGTGGTTTCAGCAGCTTTCTGGAAACCTTGGTGCAAATCCATACGACCTGTAACACTTGCATTTTACATGCCTGCAAAACCAGCACTGTATAGATGCTGCTGCCAAATCCTAGGCCAGCTTGAGGCAAATTCTGATTCCTTTTTACCATAGCTGTACTGCACTTTCCCAGACTAACCTGAAAAAAAAATCGCTTTCCTGGGTGATGTAATTGTTTTCTAGCAGGGAACCCTTTTCATGGCATTCCCATTTCAGGCTCTCTCCTTATAAACTAATTTGCATTTTCACAACTTAGAGCTTTTAATTGAGGGAGGGGGAGGGAGTGTTTTGCTCTAAGGGCATATTTCCTATTACACCAGTTTGGAGCATGAGGTTGATCTTTGTAACAATTATGGTTGCTTTCTCTTCACTGGCTTTTCTGCAACCTTAAACTTGCTCACTCCTTTCTTTATCAGACTGCATATTTTCCCATATGTTTGCCCTCTCTCGCTCTCTATCTGACTAAGAGCAGTGTGGAGTAGTCATGCCGCAGCCTGGATATCATGCTGACTTGAAATTTCCTTCACCAAATAACTTAGTTAATTGCTTCTAAGTTCAGCCTTACTTGAAATTACAAGACACTGACAGACTGTGGCCAGATTCTTTGCCAGAACATAACACAAATAACCTGTAACCCAGTTCTTGATGGAGTCCTTGTCTTCTTGGGAAACCTTGGCCTGCATTTTCTTGAACATTTTGATCTTTCAAATCCCCAGCAGAATGATCTATTAAGAGTTCTGCTTATAGTATCTTATCTAGAGTTTCTTTAGCCCAATGCTCCAAACTCTTCCATATTTCTTTTACAAACCAGATTCAGAGTTTCACAAAACAACTTCATATTGTTAGGTTCTTCAGAGCAACATCCCCACTCCTGGTACCAATTTCAGTTAGCTTGCTTGCTTGCTTGCTTGCTTTCTTCTTCTTCTTTTTTTTTTTGTTTTTTTGTTTTGTTTTGTTTTTCAAGACAGGGTTTCTCTGTAGCTTTGGAGCCTGTCCTGGAACCAGCTCTTATAGACCAGGCTGGCCTCGAACTCACAGAGACTGCCTGCCTCTGCCCCCTGAGTGCTGGGATTAAAGGTGTGCGCCACCACCACCCAGTTTAGTTACTTTTTTTTGTTGCTATGATGAAATACCTGAATTAAACAACGTAAGGAAGGAAGCACACGGGGGGTGTGTGTCTTGGCTCACACATCTTGGGGGTGCAGTCCATTGTGGTAGGGAACCGTGATGAGAACGACTCCAGCTATGACAGTGAGAACTGGGGCAGCCAGTCATGTTGCACCCCCAGCTGGTCACTAAGCAGAGAGAGATGAATGCTGATGCTCAGCTTTTCCCGTTTTTCTTTTTTGTTTTTTGTTTTTTTAAAATTCAGCACAGGACCTAGCTCATGAGACAGTGCTGTCCACATTCTTTCTGTGTTAACTTCTTTGAAAATGCTTTTATAGACATGCCCAGGAACGTGTCTTCTAGGCTATTTTAAATTCAGTCCTGGCTGGGTATAGTCAATGAATACATTTAATCCCAGTGCCTGGGAGGCAGACGAAGATATATCTCTGTGAGTCTGAGGCTAGTTTGGTTTATATAGTGAGTTCCAGGACAGCAAGAGCGACATAGTGAGACTCTGTCTCAGAAAATAAGCAAACAAACAAGCAATTTAGTCCCTCTGGGATCCTGTGGTAAATAAGTAGTCCTAGACCTTGCTACTAGCAAGCTCATGTCACCTAGGTCCAGTGTGGCCTGGTCTGACAGGAAGTGTCCCTGTCACAGGGAAGTCTATGAGCACTAGACCATTCTACACTGGGCTCAGTCTGGTTATATAAGAAGCCCTTTCCCTTAGAACCAAGGACTATGAAAGGCCACCAAGTAGAAGATCCACCGGGGACAGATGCATATACATCTTTTCACGCTGTCGTGAGGTAGTACGGTTACCGAGGGGACCCTGGGGACTAGAGTTTCTGCTGAGAGGACGGTGAAACTGGCCGGAGGTACTGGGGAAAGTCTCACTGGCTAGAGCAGTAATGAGGAGGGTTACTGGGGAGGTGTATTTTGTGGATGGGTGATCCATATTTGATTAGCCAGACTGAGTTTGTGGGGGCCATCTTGTCTCCTTCCCCATTCCCATGTTCCACTCGTAGCAGGACAGAAGAATAAATAGCCCTTCTTACTTATCAGGTCTTCAGAGTAAGTCCTACGCTATCCGGGCACCAGAGAAGTTCTCCTTTTGTCTGACTCCAAGTCCTTCCTATGGCATGTCTTGTTTATCGTACATTGCACAGTGGGTGCAAGGTTTGCTGCCAAACCACTCCTAGGGCCAAGACTTCCTCAGTCACCCTGCCTCCCTGACAGTACCATTGTAAGGAGTGGAATAGGGTACAATTAAGCTCCCAGCTGTCATCTCTGCAGGGGCAACTATAGGAACATCTTTGTGTCTGTGCTAGATGGGCCCACCCCTCTCTCCCGGGTGCCCACCACTGTTCTTTAAAAGAAAGGGACTGCAGGGGTGCTGATCATCTGTCTTATATTTACAAAGTGGCTGTGCCAAGTGACTCTTTGCTCAAGGCTGACCCTACCCACTGGCGGTCTTCCATCCAGTCTCTGCTCTCCAGTAGAGTGTGGTACAGGTTTTGAGCAACTCACATAGGAAGCAACTGTGCATCCTCCATCCTGTCCAACCATAAAGATAACGAAAGTGACAATGAGGTGATGTCTGTTGCGCTTTTATTGTGTGCCAGGCACTCACAAAGGGCTCAGCACGGGCATGTGTTTCCTATTGAAGCTATAACAAACTGCCCAAACTCAGGGACTCACAGCAACAACCCTGCGTCCATCTTGCAATCCTGTCCAGGGTTAGAAGTCTGATGAAAGATTCCCCTGGATAAAAGTTAAGTGTAGCACCTGCTTCTGGACTCCAGGGTCTAGGTGGGGCTCTTCTCAGGGGAGGCAAGAGCTGGGGGTCCTGTTTCCCAGAGACTCCTGCTATATCAGCTCTTGGGGGTCCAGGCTGGGTCAGCTCTAGGTTAATAGGGATGGCTTACTGTGTGGCCATCCCTCATGATGGAGAATGGGCCTTGGACAAGCTTGGGACCTGCAAATCACAGAAATTATGACCAATTACAGGGGGAGGCAGCAGCTCCTGGCAGAGCTGAGGGCCACAGAGGCAGCTCTGGAGCTTTATGGATGCTCCCTCCCACTTTGTGGTCCACCTGGGAGGCAGAAACATGCCAGCTCAGCACAAAGCCATGTTTGGATGCTCTGAGATAGGAGTGGGTATCCTCTCCCCAGAATCCACAGTTCCCACCTGCTGCCACTCTCAAACATCCGCAGGGACCACTAATGTCAGCATTCATCCAGTGGAGCTTCTTCTTAGCCTCCTGTTGCAGGCTACTTTCTCCCCACACTGGATCTGTCCTTCACACAGACCTCTGGCGGCCCGAGCCTGGGGACCTGGAGGAGGGAGGGAACCCAGTCAGTCACCTTGAGGTTGTGGCTCAGTCAGTTGATCTCTACTTCTGCCTCTCTCAGTGTGCCTATCCCCACACCAGCTGGAGGCACTTTTTTCTTCTCTGTGTGGGTAACTCTGGGACAAACAAGTTGTCTGTTTGATATCTCCAGGAAAAAGGAGAGGTGCAGACCCTTTGCATTTGTATGATTATGGCAAGACAGTACCAGAGGCTAAAAACCAAAATCCAGGTTGATCCTCTAGGTTCCCAAGCTCTCTAAGGATCTCACCCTTGTTCTTTTGTGCTCGTCTTTCATTAGACCTCCATTGTTCTGAGTTGAGGGGAACAGAGCTGGGTCTACCCAATGGAGGTGTGAGGGGCTGGTTTTGTAAATGTCACTTGAGGGGCTGGGACTAATGGGACCTAAGTTGAGCTGATCATTGACCCTGTTCTCTGTGTGGAGTTGAATAATGCAAGGGTATCGGCTGTCATGCTGTCTCGGCTCTGGGTTCTAGGTACTGGGTCAAGCCCATGGTGCTGGGCTGGTTACCTTCCGAAGAAATAAACCCAAGGAGAGGAATAAGAAGGAGTTTCAGTGTCTGGCCTCCATCTTTCTGAGGCCTCTGGGCAGAGTATCAGCTGATTCTTTTTCATCACCAAGGACCAAGGAGCCCTGGAATTCTGGCCAAGCTAGTGGATGACAGAGCTGGGTGAGAGTACTCCAGCCATCATCAAACTGGGAGAACTGGAGGGGAAAAGAAGAGGCCAAGTACAAGAGGAAGCCAGACCCTTGGCTTCTTGCAGATACTTCATAGAGGCAGCTCATGGTGGTGCAGACTAGGCTCTGGGCATCACTGCCCCATCCATACCAGGACTCATCTGTCTTCCTTCTGAGCCTGTTGTTACTAAGTGACTCATGGTTCTAAGTTACTCCTGGGTTACTAAGTGACTCCTGGTTCTTCCAGTCTGATTTCGAGCAGAAAGGCTCACCTTGTGGCCCTTGAGTAGGGGGTTCAACCTTTCTGGGTATCAGACTGAGCACTTGTCTCACAGGTTATGATGGAGATTAAATAATTCAAGTATGTACAACATATAGAAAGGGAAGTGCTATATAAGTATTAGCTATAATAATAGTTATTACTCATACTATTTAAAAGAGCATATTATGAAGCCAGGGAGATGGTTCAGAGGGTAAAGGCTCTTTGCCATATAAGTCTAAGCTGGAGTTCAGCCACTGGGACCTATGATTGAGGGAGAGAAAGGACTCCCTCCCCAAAGTTGTCTTTTGATGTCCCCCCCCCCGACACTGTGGCACATGCAGGCATACACAAATTAAATTTAAAAAAAAAGAAAAGAGAAAAACACATTATGTTGGCTTAAGATTGCAAAATGTGGGGGAGGGAGACAAGGGAATGAATATGGTCAAGATACATTATGTACATGTATGAAATTGTTACAGAATAAATTTTAAACATGTCTTTGAAAAGAAAGAAGATTGCAGGGTTTCCAGGCAAGCAGGGTTTGCATGACCTTAGTAAAGAGTTTTCACTGTTCTGAGTTTCTTTTTCCATTGGCGAAGTGGAGACAATAACTGTAACAATAAATAGTAACACACCTTGCAGAATACACTGATTTTTTTCTTTCCTTCTGATGAGGCGTTAGGTTGGGACAGTTGGCAGAAAACAGCTATGACCCACAAGGAGGCCAGCTGGTGCAGGAAGTCCGCAGGAAGAGGACCTGCTTACAACTGGACAATGGGAAACCTTGGAGGAGGAAGCCTGGTTCTGCCACACCCCAGCCCCAGTACTGTTGCCCTGGGATTTAGAAGTGAAGTCGTAGCAATTGAAGTTCATGGCATGTGCCTTGGCTAGATCAGCAGGGCACAACCGAGCTTTGTCCACTTCATGTACCTGTGGATGCTTACATGTACACAGATGTGCAGACACAGTGGGGATATTTGGGACTTGTCCCTTTCAGAGAGCCTGCCTTGACCTTCTACATTCATTAGGTCTTGTGCTAAAGGTCCTCTGTTAGCAGAGACTGTGTTTTTGTTCCTGACCACCCAGACCTGAATAATCACATAAAAACTATATCAATTGCAACACTGTTTGGTCAACAGCTCAGACATATTACTAGCTAGCTCTTATATCTTAAATTAACCCATTTCTATTAATCTGTGCACCGCCATGAGGCTGTGGCTTACCAGTAAGGTTCTGGCGTCTTTCTCCTTTGGTATCTGCATGGCATCTGCCTGACTCTACCTTCTTTCTCCCTGCAGTCAGTTTAGTTTTCCACCTAGTTATATTCTTCCCTGCCATAGGCCAAAGTAGCTTCTTTATTACCAATGGTCATAAAACATATTCGCAGCATACAGACAGGAATCCCACATCAGTCCTGAGAGTGCTTGGCTTCATTAGGATTTCGATTGCTGTGAAAAGACACCATGACTACGACAACTCTTATAAAGGAAAACATTCAGTTGGGGGGGACGTGTACCATTTCATAGATCCAGTCCAGTATCTTCATGGAGGGACTTGGCAGTGTTCATGGTGCTGGAGGAGGAGCTGAGAATTGTACATCTTGATGTACAGGCAACAGGGAGCAACTATGTGCCATACTGAGTGTAGCTTGAGCACAGGAGACCTCAAAGCCTTCCCCTCACAGTGACACACTTCCTCCAACAAGGTTACACTTCTTACTATTGCCACTCTCTTTGGGGTTGGTTTTTCCTTCAAACCACCACAGTCTTCTATTATTTACCTTCATAGAAATTTGTTAAATATGTAGATTTTACATGATTATTGGAAGACTGAATTAGGGATGGAGGTCAGTCATAGAGGGCTTCCCTAGCATGCCATGCTGAGGGTCCTGGGTTCCTTCCTCAGCATCCTACCTATGGTAATGACCCTGGTAGATGAATCTTGTCCTTTGTTGTTGTGGCTGTTTTTTAGTAGATGAATAACTAATAATCACAGTTAGTACTTATTTAACTTTTATTATGTGCCATCTGTTATTCTAAGCACTTCTTTATAATATACCTCAGTGTGTGATGGTTTATGCCTCTAATCCCTGTACTTGGGAGGCTGAAGCTGTAGAATTGCTGTGTGTCTGATGCCAGTCTGGGCTACATAATAAGTTCTAGGCTAGTGTGAAGTAAGGAGATCATCTCTCAAAACAAAACCAAAATAAAAATCACAATATATCTATGAAGCATCTATTAATGCAGGTGAGAAAGGGGAGCACAGAAAGGTTGCATGACTCGCCCATGTTACACAGCCAGATCAGACAAGGGGGCTGGAAATAAGGCGGTTCGGTTTCTGCCCCATCGTCCTCTCTGGCGCTTCTGCTGTGCTCTCTCTCCCAGCCAGATCACTTCTGGGCCTCATCACCCCTGGCTCACACACCTACTCCTCTCTCAAGAAACCTCCCATGCTGGGTCTGGCAAACAGAAGGGACGTGACCTCTGTTGTCCTCACGACATTCCTTCTTGGGACTCTTGCTCAAGGGAAGGACAAGTCCCAGCAGAGACCTGCTGTCCTTAGCACTGCGGGTCACAGCTGAGGTGAGGAGCAAGGTACAGGCAGGAAACGGAGGGGATCTGACTTGGGCCGTGCAAGTTTGGGCCAGAGCAGAACTGATCAAGACTCCTGAGAAGGATGGGACTCTGCTCCCCGCCCCAAGCCCCGGTGTTACCTCCAAGCCAAAGGGAGCCAACGCTGGAAGCTCACCGCTGTGACCCTTCTCTGGCTCTGACTGCAGGCTGAATGCTGAGGCCAGAATCAGTATGCTCACCTCTGCTCTATGATCAGTACTCAATCCTCTTCAGGAAGCACAGTCTTCATTTAGGGCTCGGGGAGGTGGGGCCTAGAACACATGACTTCTAAGGTCACCTCCAGGTTCAGGCAGAAGGTGTGACTTGGGAAGCCCCTGGGACAGTGAATTAGAGGCCAGAAAGGAAGTGTTTGCTTTGTAGTTGGTGCAATGCCAGGGGCTTCACGTTCTTTATCCCATTATCTCATTTAATCCCCTACAAGAAGTCTATTCTTTTTAAAGAAGTAAAAGAAGAAAGAAGAACTTGGAAACCTAACTAACTTGCACAAGGTCACCAGGTTTAAGAGGCAAACTCTGAAGTGGAGGCTGTGGCTCAGGCCTTTGTTTATTCCATTCATTATTTACATTCAGAGTCAGGTGAGGAGGATGGGGTGGGATTGGAACAGGCATTTATGGTTATTGCACTGGCTGGAGTGCCGTTGCCATCCCCAGAACAGAGAGGCTTGTCCCAGAGTTGGGGACTGTCATATTAGCCCCTAGGGAGGAAGAAGTAGAGGGGTAGAGGAGCATCTTGAGATTAAAAGAGAGACTCTGAGTAGTAGCTTAAGGTGGGGAGGAGGGGGGAAATGGAGGTGGGCTGTGAAACGACAACAGGGAAGGGGACCCTGGAAGTGTCTGATTCCCCCAAAAGTGTGAGAACGTGTTGTTGGCTGTCGACTGCAGGGATAGCCACAGGTTCCCGAGGCACACACCCATGTGGCCCACAAGCACAGGCATGCTCTGTCCTCTTCTGTCACAGCCTGCTGTCACAGACACAAACAAGTCTGTTCTTGGCTTACTCTGACAGCAGTTCAACCCTTGGCTCTCCCGTTCCTTGTACCGCCTACACACAGCCTGTGTGTGATTGTCTGTGTGTATATGCATGAGTCCATATGTGTGCATGTGTATGTGCATGCCCATGTGCATGTATGGTATGTACTCAATGTGTGAGCACATGTATGTGGAGGTACATGCCTAGTTTGTGTGTTTGTCCTTGGCCTTCACAATTCTCTGCTAGCCTCTCTTTGGTTTGATCAGATGTTTTCAAGCTATTTGATGCACACACACACACACACACACACACACACACACACACACACACACACAGAGTTTCTTAGCTCTGTCTGCTAGTCTTTCTGTCCAATCCACACCTCTGGGTTCCAGAGAACCCCATTCACTTTAAG